TCGTGTGACCATCTGTTCTGGGCACAATGAGCAAGGTCTCATGCCACCTCCTGTGGCTCAGCAGGGACTGGATGAGATGGGGTGGCTTGCTCATCTCCTGAGCACTAGCACCATGTGGCCTAACCACATGGCACAAACTACCCACCCCAGCCTCTCCCTGCTGCCTGGAGTGCCCTGCTCCGCCTCCAGCCTGCGAGATCTACTCCTGAGCGCCATCTGCTGAGGTGGGGACTGGATAAGCCCACCTGGGACTGTTCGGGCCTCAACGTGGAACCAGGCTGGCGACAATGAGTGCGTGGAGACAGTGAGGGGAAGGGGCCAGTGCAGCTGAGGCAGGAGGCTGCTGCCCTGATGAGGTGGGGTCCCTGTAGGGGAGGGGAAGAGGTGACCTTGGAAGGCTCCATCCAGATCCAGCATCAGCTGTGCTCAGGACAGAGGTCAGATCCCTCTGCCCACTATGCTCAAGGGGCATCCTGAACCTCGGAGGCAGCCTTAGGTGTGTCCTTAACTCTGCCTTGGTAGCACAGAGGGGGACTCTGAGGCCTTTTCTGGGTTGACAGTGCCATCCCAGGTATCAGAGGCCCAGGATGGGACTCCGGAGAGCATGGGTAGGCTAAAGTCCATCCCTCAGTGCTTACAAAACACTGATGCAGACTGTTGTTTCTGGGCCTTGCAAGAACTACATAGTAAATATTGTCATCTCCACCCACACATGGGGACCTGTACCTTATCAGGGCTGCAGTCCTGGCCTCAGCAGCCTCCCTGTCTCAGCCGCCCTGGTCCCTTCTTAACCCTGCGCTCTCACACACACTGTCGCCAGCTCTTTCCATCCCCATCAGGAAACAGATTCCCAAAGCAATGAGACTTGGCCTTGTTCACGCAGCCAGATGTTTGTTCAGCTCATATTTGTTCCACTACACTGTGATTGAGACTGTCCTTCAAGGACTTGCTGGAGACTGTCCTTCAAAGACTCGCTGAACCTGGGCCGGTGGGGTGCCATCAGGCAGTGTGAATTCCAAGGGCTGCTCCCAGGCAGCCTTCCGTCCTCTACTCCTGTGTCCTGTCCCTCTGGTAGAGCTCTGGCCTGCTGCAGGCAGGGGTCCAGTGTTGCAAAGCCAGCCCAGCATAGGGCTTCCCTGAGGAAGGTCCAAAGACTGGGGCTTTCAATTCTTCTGCTCTGCTGCCTCACTGGGAGCGGCCCTGGGCTCCTCTGCCAAACCCCAGCTCTCCGGCCTGCTCCAGCTCGCTCATCAGCCTGGAGTCCCACAACCTCAGGGCACATGCTGGCTCCTCCCCTGCTCAACCTGGGCAGTCACCAGGAGTCCTTCCCTGGGATGGTCCCCAACTAGCTTAATGCCCTACTGACTCTGTCTTGAAGTTCTAAACAATCTTGGAAAAGGGGGCCTTCATTGGTATTTTGCATTGGGTCCCCCAAAGCAGGTAACTAGTCTTGCCTGGACAAGTTACTTCTCTGAGCCTCAGGTCCCTACCTGCAAAAGTGCCCCATGGGTGAGGCCTGCTGAGGTGAGTGGCTGACAAGTGCTTTGTCAGGTGCTCAGGGGTAGGCAGGGCAAGGTTTGCTGTCATCATTGCTCCAGAAGGAGCAGGAAGATCTTTAAGGAGAGCCCTGGCAGCTCTCATCTAAAGTCGGGGTATAGGAGAGACGGGGCTCACAGAGTCTGAAAGGAAATTCTTCCTTCAGATCCTGGGAGAAACTCTCTGAGGTTTAGCTTTGCCCTCTTCTCCTTTGCCCCACTTGCCCGCAGTTCTGGTGACTGGAGGCAAACCTGCAGTGGGGTGTGGCCTCATGAGGCCGTCCTGCAGAACCCCTTTTACCCTCTGGCCCAAGCTCACTCTTAGCCTCTGGGAGGGACAGGAGCCGTGATGCGACCCTGAGAAGGAGGTGGAAGGTCCAGAGACCCAGAGAGATGTCCTGCTGCCATCTCCAGCTCACATTGGGGTAGCCTGCAGTTAGATGCCCACTGTAAGAAGGACAGAGCTGGTTTTTGAAGCTCTTCGAGACAGTGGTGATCCAGCACCAGGTTTTGGCAGCCTCTGGTCTTGGGGGGCAGAGAGGTAAGGCAGCTTTCCAAGGCCCTCAGAAATGGAAGCTGGGCAGTACCCCAGACTAATGGCCACTGAAGGCAAGGGATCCCCTCAGCAGCACCCAGGAGCCTCTAAGGGAAACCTCCAAGGACAAGATGCTTGGCACCTCCCAGACCAACCTTCCCTAAGTGCAGATTTCAGTCCCCCACAAAGGACCTGGGTGGGCTTCAGTCTTGCTCTTTATACATATTGCCTTTGGTAGCAGAACCTCCGTCACCTCAGAACAGCACTGCTAAGGTGGGCAAGGCAGGAACTGCCCCACGCCACCGTGTTGTAGCAGAGGCACTAGAGCCCCCAGCACAGGACAACCTGCCCATGGTCCTAGGAAGGCAGAGTGGAGGACAGGCCAGCTGCCAGACTGCTCCCTGCACTCACCTCCCCGCCCAGCACAGGTCTGGTTCAGAAAAGCCCTGGGGAGCATTGAAAGTGAGGCCATGAGCTAGGGGAGGAGCCTGGGAAGCTGTGGAATCGCAGAGGACTGTGGTGGCCTGGTCCCAAATGTCAGCAGCAAGAGCAGGGGCTGGATTCCAGAGATGTTAAGGAAGCAGCAAGAGTGGGCCCAGGGGTGCCAGAAGGTGAGGGAGTGTTCTGGACGGGGTGGAGCAGGGGCTGCAGGAGGAAGGGGGAGTTGAATGCAGTGAGCAGCAGGTCTAGGCACAGCTGCCTGGGTCCCTGGAGCTAAGGGTGGCTGGAGACAGATTGAAGGCCTGCCTTTGGGTCACTGCCCTCCTGGCACTGTAGAGTGGGACCAAGCTGATACCTCCAGTGCTGTCGCTCACTCTGCACAACCTTGGCCCCACTCCTGGTGGGGGAAGCAGTGGGCCCAGGAGCTCTGAGGGCCAGGGCAGGAGACAAGAGGCAGAGTCGGGCCTGGCATGCGGTGACCACCATGATGGGGCACTGGCAGCAAGAGGGATCTGCACCCAAGAGTGGCCCACCAGCCCCCAGATGCTGGGGTACTCAGAGCCCCTCACTCAAAGCCTAAAATTTATGCACCAGCTGGGGCTACTCAGAGAAACTGAAATCACCCAGTGGGGGAGAGAGCCCTGCAATGGGGTCCAGAGAAGGGTGGACATCCGTGCTGGCCCAGCCCCCTCCCAGCCTCAGACTGCCCAGTGGGCAGGTCCCCAAGACCCTCTTGGGTCTGAAGGGTCGAGTTACAAGTGCCACCAAGGGGAAGAACATACCAGCTGTCAGGTATGTCCATTTCTCAAGAACATAATCACCAGGGCCCCCACCCACTTCCACCAGCACAGAGAGACCAGGCCTGGCCCAGCCCTCAGTGCCTGCTGCTGACCCCTAATGCCCCCTACCTCAGAGCCTTAACTACCTACACCTGCAAAACAGGCAGGTTCTCAGCCCCCTCCATCAAGGGGCCATCACACTTGGAAGGCTGAAAGGGCTCTTCGGGGACACTGGCTCTGCTGTGGGCTGGGAGGCAGGATTTCCTGGTCTGGCTTTAAGCCCAGGAGAGGAAACGTAATGAGCAGCCACTGCCTGGTGCCTTCAAGACTTGATCTTCACCTCAGCCCTGGGAAGGAGGCTTCCCCAGGTGTGGGCCAGCTGTGGCCCCAAGGGAGTCTCCCCATAGATGGTCCCGTGAGAAGACGAGAGGGCCAGAGCAGGCCTGGTGCCAGACAGAACTGGCCGTTTGGGCCCAGGGCCCGGGCTGCCCCAGGGCAAGGAAGAGCTGCAGCCTTCTCTCTGTGGCTCTGCAGAGGTGCTCCTGGCAGAGGTGCCCTGGGAGCCGGACCTGAAGGCTGAGCAGGGAGGAGGTGTGCAGCCAGGGCCAAAGCACGGCAAAGACCCCGGGGATGGGGTGGGGGTGGTCACAGAAGCTGCCAGGGCCACCAGGGCACTGAGACAGACCAGAAAGAGCATCAGGGCCAAGGAGACACCTTTCAGCAAACTACAGCCAGCCCCGTGATGGCGGTGGGAAGTCACTAACCCCGAGGCAGGCGGGCGGCTCTCATGCAGATAGCCCCAGCAGCAGGACGCCCACCCTGGAGGCCCTGCAGAATCACATGCTCACCCTCAAGGTGAAGGTCAAAGGACGGGCACCACGAATCTAATTAGCAGCAGGGACTGCTGGCAACTGTACATTCATTCTCAAACTTCTAAGGAAGGCAGGCCCCCAGGTGAAGCAAGCTCAGGCTGTGCCCCCCAGGCCCTGTACCACAGGATACGAAACCAGGTGGCAAGGACTGAGGTCCGGGAGAACAGCACCCTGTGGGTGCACTATGGCCCTTCTACAGCCAGTGAGGACCACTCACCGCAAGCTCTGGTATCCCCGTTGTACCTCAGCCACTCCAGCCTCTGAACTTTTCAGACGTGAAAAAAGAGCACTAGACAGACTTCAAGTGGACAAAACCCAGACACCTTTGGTGCATTCTGATGAGAACAGTGGGTCAAGCCTCACTAGGGTGGTGGTGAGTGCTGCGCAAGGCCCGGGCCCCACAGCCAGGGCTGCAGCCATTCCCCACTGGGGTGAATATGGCTGCCTCCAGCCACCACCTGATGGACTTGGAGTCTAAGAGCAGGTGGGGCAAAGGTTCAGGATCCTGGCCGTGGGCAGTTAAGAACCAGCCAGGCCAATCTCAGACCCCAGATCGTGGTCTTCAGCTGTCAGCAGTAACCTCTAGCCAGTACTGCTCTCTGTCAGGTTTGACGAGCCTCACAGCGACCCCATGGGAATGGAGCCCATTCTCCCATTTTATAGATGGGGAGCCTGAGGCTCAGAGAGGCAGCACAGGTTCCTTAGAGTCCCATAGCAGGAGTATCAGCCAGAACTTGAACCCAGGTCTCCTATCTCACAGGAGATCTCCCCATGGCTGGGGAAAGCCGGTAGCTTCTGCCCAAGGAGACTGAGCATCTCTGTGTCTTTCCCTCCCCAGAGACATGTGCAGTCAATAACGGAGGCTGTGACCGGACGTGCAAGGACACAGCCACTGGCGTGCGGTGCAGCTGCCCTGTTGGATTCACACTGCAGCCAGACGGGAAGACATGCAAAGGTCAGCACAGGGAGTATGCTGGTGTGTCCCCACCTGGCCTCTGAGCCCCATGTGGCCACAGAATAGGGGCACTCGGCAGTCACTCACCTTGGTGCTGGGAAGGCCAGGAGAAGGGAGGGTCCCAGCAGGGACCAGAGAACACAGGTGTGTGGTACTTCCATAGATTCCTGGATCAAAAGTGCCTTTACTCTGGAACTCCCTGGGGGCAGAGGTGCTGGCCCAGATGCTGACCTGTAGTGGGGGTGATTCTCAGAACAGATGGGGACAGCCCAGCTCTGGGCTGTTTGGGAAGTGTGTAAGTCATTATGTGTCACTGTTGGAAATTTGTAAGGGGATTTGTGTGAGTTCTGTGCTTCACTGAAGGAAGAAGGATGCAGAGGAACTTTGTCATAGAAAAGGAACAGGTAGCTGAAGGTGGAGGAAGGGGCGGGGGGGGGGGGCGCAGTGAGGGAAGGGGAGCTGCAGGTTCCACAGAGAGAGGCTGGGCTCCAGGACCAGCCTGCGTGGGGACCAGCCTCCCATAGCAGGGCCAGGCCAGGCAAAGGCCGGGGGCCATTGCAAAAGCCCATGCCTGACTGGCAAAGCCGCACACAGAAGGGGGCAGCAGCCAGGCCGCCCTCAGGCGCCTACCCCAGGCCTGACCAAGGAGGGCCTCGAAGGGAGCAGGAGCTGGAGAGTGTGGCCAGCGAATGTTTAAGACAATTTAAAACTGACTGAGGTGGGCTATTTTTAAGTCTGACAAAGTAGCTTCTTCCTTCCTTGCCCCCTTGCTAGGAAGAGCTGCTAATTGTGACAGCAGAGGCAGATCTGCCAGCTGCTGATGTGAAGTGAAGCCCTCTGTAGCCGCCGCTCGGCCTGTCAGTAGCCCTGATGTGTTCCTGGCAGGGTTGTGGGCAGACAGGTGACATCTGAGTCCTCGCCATGTGGACTCAATGCCAGGAGTGGGTGGCAAGGGAGCCAGAGGTCAGCGCAGATCTGGGCATCCTCAAGGCCCAGTAATGTCACCTGTCCAGAGACCCAGGGCCTGGAGAGGTAGAACCAGTCCTCACTGCCTCGCCAGGAGGTGGAGGCTGGACTGGGAAAGGGGGCCCTGCAGGGCTGAAGTCCTGAGAGCAAGGCTGCTGGAAGGAGAGCTGGAGCCAGCTCACCACTGGGGACCAGAAAGGGCCTGGGAGTCCTGTGGCCCCAGAGGGAGCAGCCGGGAGAGGACTCCTGCTGCTGCTCCCCACCCCTCTCTGGGGTAGCCCAAGGGGGCTGGTGACATTTCCAACTGTGAGTGCCGGGCAGACCCCAGTCAGTACTGGGTGGGTTTTTATTTTGAAATGGTCCCTGCCAGCACCTGGCCAGCAGTCTCTGGGCAGCATCTGGAAAAGCAGGGAGGAGACTGCTGCCATCCCCTGGCTCAGGACAACATTTTTGCTTGGGCCGGATGGTGGCAGAGATGGGAAACTGGGTTGAGACTTCCCCACTGGTACTAGGAATGGAGGGGCACGGGCTGGCACAGACCTGTAGAGCGAGAACAGCTCAACTCAAGGAGGGAAGCCTGAGAAACCAGATGCCCCCTCCAGACCCCAGGGTTGGTGACCTGGGTTCTCAGGCTCTTGCTGGAGAGATGCAGGCAGGGCTGGGGACTTGGCTGGGGCAAGCCCAGCAGGGGATTCCCAGTGAACCCAAGACCTTGGCCTCTGGGGTTTTGGGTTTCACTCCTCAATTCAGGGTGCACACCCTGATCTTGGCACGGGTCCAGGGAAGAATATCAAAGGAGTGATTTCAAAGGTTCAGTGTTTTCTGGAAGCAAAAAAGACATTGTCAAGCAAGATAGATCACTGGAGGGGAGATAACAGAGGGCTGGGAAAATCCAGAGCTGAGAGCCCAGGCAGGCGGGGTTCACCAGGGCTGGTGGGGATCCCCGGGGGTAGGCGGCAGGGGTGGGAAAGTGGGATGCAGGTTTTAGAGGATCAAGAGGACTTGCCCCAAGCCCAGGCTTTATCAGTTTGGAGCTGGGTCCCCCTGTGCTGTTGGGAGGCGGCCTCCTGATGCTGGACTCTCCCCAGAGGGTAAATTTCTGAGCTGCAGCCGCTTTCCCTCAGGGAGACCCCTCCTCCACACACCTTCAAGAACAATCTAGGAGAATCCCCACCCACTGCTGCTTCCCTGTGCCCTGGGCCAGACAGGCCACCTGCTGGGACTTTTATCTGTGTGGGAGCAAAGGTGCCCTCACCTGCCCTCCACCTGGCCAGCCCACATCCTAACTCTCCCTCTGCCCCTCCCAAAAGCCCTTGTTCATGGGCCCCACAGTGTGCCGGGATGGCAGAAGGGAACAGAAATAGCCATCCTGTGCATTCCTGGGGCACAATCCTCACCTGGCAGGCACCCCCATACCCACACACCTGTGCTCCACCGTTGGGTGGTACAGTCAAATAGCTACTTGATGGGCCAAGGTCCCACCCTTCCCTGGACCCTCAGGCCCTTTTCTGTTTCTGGACCACCCTGTCTCACCTCCTGGCTCATCTGTTCATTCAGTCGCTCACTCTGGGCCTGGGGTGCCAGACAGGAATAGGTACCCACCTCTGTGGTCTAGTCCCAAGGCTGTCTCCTGCCCCCGGGCAAGCCCTGTGACTAGGGAGAGATGGACTCTGGAGGGAAGGGCAGGAAGGCTGGCCAGAGGAAGGTGGAGAGGCCCTGCAGAGGGCCAGCAGGTGAGAGCCAGCTGCAGTGGTGCAGCGGGTGGCTGGAGCCTGGGCTGCGCAGCAGAGGCCAAGGCTGCCCAGGAGAGGAGCTGCGGCGGGCAGGCCAGGCTGCAGAACGAAGTCTGTGACCACCACCAAGGGCTGGCCTTTACCCAGGAGACCCAGAGGCCCCCACAGACTTGTCAGCAGGTAGGGGCATGGCCAGATTTGCTGTGGAAGGTGGAGGGTGTGTGGACACAGTCGAGGATGGGAAGGGGACAGAGGACCTGAAGTGCCTCCCCAGTGTTGGTTCATCAGAGGTCAAGGGACCTGGGAGCCCAGCACCCCCTTACTAGATCCTGGTAGAGAGGAGGGGCACCCCCACATCCCTCCAGGCAGCCAGCTACTCCAGCCTGGGCCCAAGCACACATGCCTCCCTCTGCCTGTCTGGTTGCTGTGACACACCCTGGCTGGACAGATTTGGATGGGGAAGCAGAAGGGGTCAGAAGTCTCAGGAGGCCTGAGGCGTTCTTGAGGAGGCAGGGGTCCTGATAATGACCACAGGACAGCCCCTGTCTACTTAGCAGAGTTGGCTTACTTAATCCCACTAACGGCGCTAGGGGAGGTGCTGGTGGACATCCTAGTTTGTAGATGGGGAACCTGAGGCTCAGAGAGGTGTCTTTCCCTGCCCAAGGTCACACAGCTGGCAAGGCAAAGACAGGCCTCTGCTTTCCTGCCTGAGGCTTTATGCTAGAAACTCCCAATTTTCCTGGAACCTGGGGTGGAGACACCTCAGCTCAGGCCACAGCTCATTTCATGTCTCTCTGGTGGCCACAAGGCCGGCATGGTGTGCTGGAGAAAGCCATCCTCGAGACAGACGGTGCTGGTGGAGGTCAGCTCTCACCTGGAGCCCTGTGACCACATTCTATGAAAACGGGGCTCTGCTCCTCCCACCTGTCGTGGGGCTGGAGGGAGATGCCCCAGGAAGAGCTTGGTTCAGGCACCTCCCCAGGCTCCCAGGGTGACCCCAGGGAGGGCTAAAGAGGGCTGTCCTCTGATATGCAGGAGCAGTGTCCAGAGCTGCTGGGAGCACTCCATGGGAATGATGCCTGGGGACGTGGGCAGGCGCCCGTCGCCTGTCTGGTTGAAGGAAGAAGCAGGAAGGTGGCTGCTGAGGCTCTGCTGGGGTGGGAGCTGCTATGGGAGGAGCGAGGCTCCTGTCCCCCATCTGTCAAAGGAGGCAGGCTCACCCTGTCACTGGGTGCCCAGTACACAGGACAGGGCATCCGGCACCAGCCGAGCACCCACGCTCAGGGTGGGCTCCACAGGTGCTGGGCCCCTGCCTGGCAGTTGTGCCAGGGCGGGTCTGACGACCATAGGGGAGGTCATCCATTTCCTGGCTGGGAGGGTCTCGGCGCTTCCCTTTTACTCCTCCACACCAGGGGGGAGTGGGACACCTGGACAGGGAGGTCGGCATGGGGGCTGGAGACCATGGGGGCCCTGGAGGAACTTTGAAGTAGCCAGAACATAGCTCCTGGAGAAAAGGACCCTCAGGGACAGGGACAGGGGGCCTCTGATTGGCACAGAATGCCAGGCTGAGCTGGAGCCCAGATGAGCAGCTTGAGGGGTGGGGACAAGGGGCTCAAAGGAGTCAGACTGTCTTGGGGCGAGAGGGACAGGCATCCCTGAGGGGTCAGCAGCAGCCCACACTGTGAGAGAGAACTCTGTCATTGAGGTGCATGAGCTGCAGCCACCTACTTAGCAGTGTTGCCTGCCACTCATTAACTATTGACAGAGAAACAAACAAACAGGCGGGGAGTGGGGGTCCCTCAGGCGCAGCTCACACCCCGCCCCCCCTTTAGCAAAAGGCTCTCGCACCAATACTTGACCCTCTGAGCCTCAGCCTCCTTACTCAAACAGGCCATAAAACCTACTTTTTAAAGTGTCCTCACAGCTGACTGGACTCCAGCGCTTGGCAGCAGGACTTCAGGTCCCCCTCACTACGTCTTGCACGAGGGCAGGGGTCGGGGCGCTTCTTACCCATCTCCCACCAGGAATCCAGGAGCCTGCTCTGGTCACCTGAGGTGGCCCCTGTTCCAGCCTCACTGCCCCCCAGCCACCTCCCTGGAAGTGTGGGTTGAAGGACCACAAGTGGACATCGCCGCCCTGTCTCACCTGGCACAGCAGATATCAGCTCCTCTGCACAGGGCATGATGCCAGGCTCACCAGTCTTAAGGGGTGAAGCCTCAAAGGCTGGGCCCTCACAGTGTACTCCAAGCCCTGTCCCACACTTGTGGGCCAGGCCCCATCCTGTGGTCAGCTGGAGTGCAAGCCTCTGGGCAGGGCCTCAGGCCAGCCAGGCAGATAGGGAAGGAGGGTGCTGCCCCTCCCTTAAGAGCCAGAGCCCATTCCCCTTGCCTTGTTCCTCCCCCTCATCCCTGCAGATATCAATGAGTGCCTGGTCAACCATGGAGGCTGTGACCACTTTTGCCGTGACACTGTGGGCAGCTTCGAGTGTGGCTGCCGCAAGGGCTACAAGCTGCTGACGGACGAGCGGACATGCCAAGGTGAGCCCATGCCAGGCCTGGGCAACCCCTCCCCATCGGGTCCCAGCAGACCAATGTCCCTTCCCTCCTGGGCTCATGCAGGCTCCTAGAGGAGAAGGTGAGTGCGTGGATGTCCACTCTGCCAGCTGGGCCTGAGAGAATGGGCGTAGGTCTCCAGTCCTTGGCATGTGCTTCTGTCCACCCTGACTTCCTGTTCTTTGTTTCTCGGGGCATCCAGACCAACCAGTCCCCTTTATAGATGAGAAACTGAGGGCTGGGGAAAGATCCAGCAGCCCTCCCCTGACCTCCCTCAGTATGGGGACGGCTTTGGCTTTAGAGGTGGGTGCTGCCACCTGCTGGAAGGCATTGCACAGGCACTCTCCCACAGTCACCTGCTAGGGAGAATGATGGACGGCAGGAGAGGGCTGGGCAGAAGCCCAGGACCACAGTTTATGACAAGTCCAGGATGAAGTGGGAGCCCAGAGGGTGGGCAGTGGACAGGGGTGGTTCAGGAAAGGCTTCCTGGGGAGGGGCCTTTGGTAAAGTGCTAGGAGGAGTGGCATTATCACCTACCCAGGAGATGGCACTGTTGGACCACAGGAGCTTGGTGGGGTGTCCTGTGGGACCAGCTTTGGGAGAAAGCGCAGAGGGAGGCCAGCTCTTGGGTTGTGCACTGGTTGTTTTGGCCGTGTAGTGCACGTGAGGACTCTGTCGCCAGGTTCGGTTTTGGGGTCTGCACCTTCTGCCTTATGGGTGCAGCTTGAGGGCCAGCCTGACCTCAGGCTCCCCACGTGGCCAGTGCAGTCACTTCTTCTCCTAGGCTCTGCCTCACTGTCCCTGAATGAGCACCAGGGGCCCATCTTCCTCTCAGGGTATGAGGGCCAGTCAGGAGCATGGCTTTCATCCAGGCCCCATCGGTGCTCCTCTGTGCTTTCTTTGTTTCTGGGTCAGCCTTGCCAACTTCAGTAGAGGGCTGGGGGGCCCTTGACCTTGCATGCCCAGCTGCCCCTGAGAGAGGAGGGGAGATGGCACATCTTCTGCTGGGCTCTGGGCCAAGTTCCTGTGCTCACTTGCTCCCTACTCTGCCAATGTCTCCACCCTCTTCCAGGTCACCTGAGGTCTGGGGCCCTGGACCCCCCAGATACAGCAGAGAGGGGTCCAGTCCCCTGTGGTGCTCAGGGCTCTCAGGACAGGAACCCCGGGCATCTCCCCAGTCCTCCCTTGACCTTACACAACCTGCAGGCACCCTGTACTGCCACCTCAGCCTCTGCCTGGAGCACCCTTCCTCCATTCCAAGTTGGCCCCATCCTTCAAGGTCAGGGGCCACAAATACCAGGAGCTCTTCCCAGATCCCCTGGGAGGGATCGCATCCCCCTGTGAGGGTCCACAGCTCAGTTCCTCTTTGCATTAGTGCTCTTGTGAATGTGTAGACATCATGAATACGATGTGCATACATCACGTGAGCAGAGGGACTCAGAGAACAAACTCAATCACTGTGCTCCCAGAGGCTCAGGCTGATATTGCTGTGCCCGCCAAGGCCCATCAGCTGCCCCATAGGAGCCATTTTCCTCAGAATTTATGTCTAGGGTAGACTCGCCTCCTGGGAGCATCTGGCTCATTTCATCCCTTCCAGTAGCAAGCAGTTGGTGATGCTCCCTTTTCCTCAGCCACCAGGAAGCTCATGATCAAATGTCACATATGATCAGAGTCTTTTTTTCAGTCTTGTGGGTAGCGCATTCCCTTACTTATTTGTGCTGTTTTCCTTATTTTCTCAAGAAACTTCTTGGGTCACTTTGGTCAGCAACCAAGAGGCCTGGGTTCATGTCCCATTCAGCTTCTTCCTTGGGGATCTTAGGCAAGGCCCAATCATTTTCCTTCCTGCAGGTGAGATTAAACACTTCTCCTAATCACAGTTGAATATGAGATGTTAAAATGGCAGAGTCAGAATCTCTTCTATTCGAATAGCTCTGCTGCTCATCTCTGGGAAAGACGCAAGATGGCTTCTAACCCATAAGCAGGGTTAATGGCGGCTCAGTGGAACGTCAAGCAGCAATGAGAGTCTGACATTTGCTGAGGGCTGGCTCTGCACTGAGCCTCAGCACCCAGGGACTGTCCACGCACAGATGCGTGTCATGTGGCTATTTGTGACGGGCCATGCCCACCCACCAAGTGCTGAAACACTCCCCCATATTGTCTCCTTGTGGCCACACAGACATCGACGAGTGCTCCTTCGAGCGGACCTGCGACCACATCTGCATCAACTCCCCGGGCAGCTTCCAGTGCCTGTGCCACCACGGCTACACACTCTATGGGACGACCCACTGCGGAGGTCTGCAGCCCACCTGCCAGGGCCACCTGCCCTTTGAGGCATGCACCTGACTGCACAGCTACCTGCACTGTACCCCACACCCTGACCTTGACACTGCTGGGAAAGGGCTTAGCGACGGGCAGATCAGGGGAAGCCAGAGGAACAGGGAGGCAGGAAGGCCAGTGGGTACCTGCTGGGTGCCACACTGGTGCCAGTTTAAAGGCAAAAGCCTAGAAACTGCACCTACTGGAGAACCCCAGTCCAGCAGGGGGTGGCCCACACAGAAACTCCCACAGTGTGTTCTAGTGGGAGAGAGGCAGTGACAGAGAAGAGCAGTGTCAAGACCATGGGGACCCCAAAGGAGAAATGTGTGGGCTGAGAAGAGGGGATCAGTGTTTTCTGCAGTCCCAAGGCTGAGGGGCAGAGGCAGCAATGCGGCTCGAGCCCTGGGGCTGAGGGTGCGAGGTGGGGAGCAGGCAGGGAGGTGCTGGCCTGGACAGCATAGGGCTCTGTGAGCCCAGAGGGGACTTGAGGTCCTGTTCCCCCTGTGATGAGACACCTTCAGAGGGCTTACGCAGGGCAATAACAGGACCAGGTTACGTAACCAGACGCTCTGGCTACCATGTGGAAAGGAGCGTGGACTCCAGGGTGCCTTGGGGAGAGGCCCCAGGCTGGGAGCTTGAGGAGTAAGGCAGGGCACAGGGCTGCAGAGAAGGTTCTAGATATATTTAGGGGCCAGAGGTGAACCGAGGGCTTTCTGGGGCTTCTGCTCACTGGTGTGCAGATAGGCTGAGTGTAACAGAGCAGGTCTACCCCTGCCGCCCAGCACCAGCGGGAGATTTAGTCAGAGGAGGAAGGGCCTTGGCAGTGCTGCTTTTACCCTGGTGCCTACTGTGCAAGTGGGAAACTGAGGCTGGGAAGGGGCTTGTACAGTCCCCTGGTGAGATCAGGCCTCACGATCACTGGGCCAGTGCTGGCTCCCGGCCCCACCAGGCTGGATTGAACCTTTAATTGTGTGCCACCTCCTCAGCCAGGTCCCTGGAGAAGGGGTGCATTTGGATGTCCAGGAGGATATCCATGTGTGTGTGTGTGTGTGTGTGTGTGTGAGTGTGATGTTCAGCTACGTGTCAGGGTCAAAAGATGGTGTCAGGCAGGGGTGTGGTCAGTAGCTTCTCAGCCCTCTTGCCCTGACTCCTTGACCCCCCAGCCCCAAGGATGTGGCCTGAGCTGGCTGATCCAGGCTCCCCTCCTGCCCTTACTCCCATCTGTTCTTCCAGATGTGGACGAGTGCAGCATGAACAACGGCAGCTGTGACCAGGGCTGCGTCAACACCAAGGGCAGCTATGAGTGTGTCTGCCCCCCTGGGAGTCGGCTCCACTGGAACAGGAAGGACTGTGTGGGTGAGTGGTGGCAGGGCTGGGGGAGGGTGGGGAGGGGTCCGGAGGAAGGGGAGCGGGCTCTTCCTTTGGGCCCTGGGCTCGGCAGTGGTCCTGTGCCAGGTCAGTGTGGCTGATGGGAGTGAGCCTTACCAAGAGGTGAGAGCCAGGTACAGGGGGAAGGGCCAAGCAAGAGATCAGTGACAGCCAGGGGCCAGGGGGTGCCTAGGTGCTGGAAACTTGGGCAGAGGGATTGTTGGCCTACCTTGCCCAGCTCCCCCCATCCTGCTGGGAAGCTGAGGGCGCAGGCGTGGGTCACACAAGTGTAGCAGCATTGGAGCCTGGACCAGGGAGAGGGCGCCTGCCTGTTTGCCAGCCTCCTCCCGCCCAGCTCCCAGCTCCACTGCAGCTCCTGTGTTCCGCATGGCTGCCCCGGCGCCAGGGGGCCTCTAGGCTGAGCTCTAGATGACCCCAACTAATTTGTTCCACAAATACTTCTCACTGCCTGCCAGCCAGGGCCTATATGCACTGTGGCCTGCCCCCCTGGGCTTTGCTCTCTGACCCCCTGCCCCGCCACACTCTGATGTCCCCAGACAGAGCAATCCTTATGACTCCAAAGCAGGAGGTCCCTCTATGCTCAGATGCCTCCAGCAACCCCTTCTTCCCTTCACTCAAAACCACAGTTTGTCAAGTCACCTTCCCCTCATTTGCTCCATGCCAGCCTCACCCAGTGGCAGCCAACCCCCATGCTGCTCTCACCCCACCTTGGAAGGAAACCTGTGCTGGTCTCCTGTTGGCCTGGAGGGCTCCCCCAGCCCCTCACTGGCCCTTGCTGTGGTGTCTGCTCAGCAGGACAACCTAACCACCCTCCACAGCAAACAGCCCAGCCGCCTCTGACCCACTCTGGTCCCCTGGCCTTCTGCTCTCCTGTTGTCCCATTGCTCTTGGAACTACCAGCCAATAATTGTATTGTATAGGCTAGTGTGGGCTTGTGTCCACCTGTCTGTCCTCACTAGAACAGAAGTTCTGCACAGTTGAATGGGTTTTTTTCTCTTGTGCTAGTCACTGCTATATCCCAGGACCTGGAACGGAGTCTGGCATCCCCAGACACCAAGCAAACATTTGTTGAATGAGTGAATGAGCATATTAAAGACTGGAGACCATCACTAGATATCTGAAATCTAAAGGCTGGATTTATCACTTACCCTGTTTAGACAGTGTCTCACTGAGTTGAGCAAACTGCTGGTTTTGTGTAGAGTTTGGGGAAAGAACTGTTTGGTGGGGGCAGGGAACATTGGCTGCAGGGCGGGGAGAGATGATGTCAGTCTGAGGAGCATGGTTTGTGCTGTTACAAAGGGAAGAGTGGGTCGACAGCCGCCTTGGCAGCTGCTGACTAGTGTGAGTCTTTCCCAGGTGACTGACTAAGCCAAGACTGTCATAGATTGATTGGCTTCAGAGGCTTGTCCTGCCACTCAGTCACAGACCTGCTGGGGCCTCGCTAGTCCTAGTATTTACAAGGAGTCATTGATGCATTGGAGTTGCGCTAGTTCTAGGATTTACTTGTCGTCATTGCTGTAGACTGACCGTCTTCCCCCAAGGCTGTGAAAAGGTGTTCTTTGGTCTTATTTCTCTCCATCCCCCTTTTTGTCTTTTTGTCCTCCCTCCCCCAGTCAGAGCACTAGGAGGGACCACCAGGGTGTGTCCAGGTCTCCATGAAGTGTCCCATAGAAGTCTCTCTTTTTTTTTTTTTTTTTTAAGAGAGAGTGAGTAAGAGAGAGAGAGAGAGAGAGAATTTTTTTAATATTTATTTTTTAGTTTTCGGTGGACACAACATCTTTGTTTGTATGTGGTGCTGAGGATGGAACCCGGGCCACACGCATGCCAAACGAGCACGCTACCGCTTGAGCCACATCCCCAGCCCCTATAGAAGTCTCTTTGTCAGGTCATGTCAGTCAGCATGACTTTATCCCACTGTTGTCCCATGTTGCATTAATGTCCTGGAGAGTCAGCACCAGGTGACAAGACAAACTAGTGTAAATGAAGGCATTAGGTGGAAGATACCAGAAGGCTTTCAAGAACCAGGATCTCCGGTTTCCCAGGCCTCACCAAGAAACAAGTGCCACAATGCCCTGAGCCTGCCTTGGGTGTTCAGGTGGCCGTCACTTTGGCCTCTGTGGGGTTTGTCCTGCCTCACGCTGCTGCAAGTCTAGGTTCAAAAGGAAGTAGATGCCAGCCACAAGGCGGACAGCCCCCAGTCGGCCACAGGAAATCCAGGACTGTGCTGCTCTCCACGACTGCCTGGCTGGATTATTTACTATGTCAAAGGGAGGGTCACTTTTTTTTTCTTTTTTCAGTGATGGGATGGAACCCAGGGCTTCACACGTGCTGGGCAAGTGCTCCACCACTGAGCCACATCCCAGTCTCCATCAGGTTTGTGATAACCACTTTGGGTTGTCCAATATCTTCAGTAGTTCGTTTCTCTCATAGTTCTTCACAGCACTAGGAAAGAGTTTATACCTTCAGATTTCTTGTTAAAAAAAGCATAGTTTATACAGGGTATCAGAGTAGAGGGGTCAGACATTGGAATAGTCTTATGGCCCCAAAAGACAGACAGCCTTAGTTCTGGGGTGGCATCAGTGTGCCAAAGTACCCTATAAGAGATGTGACTGAGCTGGGGGTGGCGCTGTGATAAACCCTCAGATGCTGGTCAGGGATTGCTGAATTCATCTCCCCCAGTCTAAGGGCTTTTCCTTCTTTTTAAGTATTGTCTACAGAGAGTTTTGTTTTAGTGAGCTTTTGCATTGCTGTGACCAAAAAACCCAACAATAACAACCTAGAGGAGGAAAAGTTTATTTGGGGTTGACCATCTCAGAGGTCTTAGGTCATAGCCAGCCTGGGCCAAGGTAAGGCAGCACATCTTGGGAGAAGGGCCCACAGAAGAAAGCTGCTTGCCTTGTGGTAGGGTCAGGAAGCAATGGGGGAGGGGCTGAAGTGCAGATGCACCCTTTCAGGGCACTCCCCCAGTGACTCACCTTCTCCAGCCTTGTCCCACCTGCCTGTAGTTACCACCCAGGCCATTCAAACTAGGACTGACTGATTAGGTTACAGCTCTCACAATCTAATCATTTCACCTGTGAACATTCCTGCATTAACAGGAACTTTTGGGGGACAGTTCATATCCAAACCATAACATTCTACTCCTGGCACCCATAAAACTCATGCCCATCTCACAACGCAAAATGCATGTAGTCCATCTCCAGGGGTCCCATAGTCTTAATCATTTTAGCACTACCCAAAGTCTCATCTGAGACAAAAATCAAACTCTTTTTGCTGGGAGACCTTATAAAAATCAAAAGCAGGGCTGGGGTTGTGGCTCAGTGGTAGGGGGCAGGGAACATTGGCTGCAGGGCAGGGAGAGGTGATGTCAGTCTGAGGAGCATGGTTTGTGCTGTTACAAAGGGAAGAGTGGGTCGACAGCCGCCTTGGCAGCTGCTGACTAGTATGAGTCACTGAGTTCAATTCTCAGCACTGCACATAAAATAAAATAAAGGTTCATCAACAACTAAAAAATATACATTAAAAAATCAAAAACAGCATATATTCAATATACAGTGGCACAGAGGAAACATTCCTGTTCCAAGAGGAAGGAACAGGGACATAGAAAGAAAGGATGGGGGTGGGGCTGGGGTTGTGGCTCAGTGGTAGAGTGCTTGCCTAGCATGCTTGAGGCACTGGGTTCGATCCCCAGCACCACATAAAATAAACAAATAAAATAAAGGTTATTGTGTCCATCTACAACTAAAAGAAAAATTTTAAAAAAAGAAAAGAAAGGATGGGGCCAAAGTAAGACTAAAACCCAGCTGGGCAAACAGGGCCCCTAACTCCACATACAGCACCAAGGACACTTGGCTATAAAACATGCTCTCAAAAGGACTCGGGCAGCTTCACCCTTTTGGCCTGCTGGCAGTGCACATGGGCTCCCTTTTAGCCTGTTACACAGCCAGTAGCTTTTGTCAGCAGACAGTCCACGTTACTGGCATTTCTTAATTCTCAAGGTCTTCTTTCCAGCTTCAGGTTCACCTTCACACTTGACACATCACCCTCTCGGGAGCAGCCCACAAGGACTCTGACTTTGCTACACTTTGCATGGCCTCCCAGGCCTTACTTCAAAATCTCAATGGAAGCTTCGTGACCCCTTAACTTTAGCATGGTGCATTCCTGTAGACCCAGCAACATGTGGATGATGCCAAGATCACTCAGGCAATACCTGGGCCCCTGGAATTGTGGCTGCAGCAGCCTCTGAGTGCCTGCACAGCTTAGCCTGGTAAAACATCTTCCAAGGCTCCCCTGTGTGAGTAGCACACACCCCTGATCTCTTCTCAAAGGAATTTTCCTCCTCTAGACCCTTGAGCCTGCAATGAGTGTGGTCCTGTGAATTCCTGTGATGCCCTTACACCATCTTTTCTCATCTGAGACAAAAAATCAAAGTACTTAGCATGTCTTTAGGGGCTATAATCTCTTCAATAAGCACCTTCCTTGGCCCCAGTTTTACATGTACTTTTCTGGCCAAACTACAAATTTTTAAAATTCTTTAACCCTGTTTATTGCTCCCATTTCTCCTAGTAAACCTGGCTAAAGCTGCCAGCAATGTTCATGACACAGATTGAATGCTGTGCTGCCTTGAAATTTTCTCCACCAGATTAACTAGTCCATCACCTTTAAACTCAGCCTCACAGGAAAGTCTCAGGCCATGAGCCAAATGTAGCCAAGTTCTTTGACACATGAGTGGCCTCTAGTCCCATTTCCCATAGAGTCCTCATTTTCCTCTGAAACTTCATGCTCACTGTCTGCATTCCTAAGGCCAATCCTGTTAACTGAGCTCCCATCAGAATCACCCATTAAGCTCCACTTACAACATTCTAAGGCTTTTCAACTTGCATCTCTAACCTTTTCAAAATTCCCCCTGCCAACCAGTCCAAAGTCTTCAAAAATCATGTGTCGGGTTAGTCACAACAATGGCCCCA